TAACCGGTTCGGTAGATTTGACGAACCGGTTCTACCGAATAGGTGCGAACTGGTAGGAACCCACCTCTGGTTCTAGCTGCTTATCCTTGCAATACTGTCCTAGTGGTCTCAGTGCTCTTTTAAGACACTTGAGAATATTGTTACATCACTGCCTAGAATAAAAGAGAAATGCATCTTCCAGCCAGTTTGGGTGAGTGAAAATTGAGGTAATGGTCCAATATGTACTTGATATAGAATTAGGAATGGGGCCAATATGCAGCCTTGCTTTATGCCTTTCCCAGTTCCAATAGCAGCCACATTGAAGCAGTTGACGTCATGGTGGGAGAGGAAGTAAATAAAACAGGGAGCTCTGGTGGATATAAACCACCCAGCCACATTCCAGGTTGAAAGGATGTCATTATGCTGGTGAATAAATACTTAAATGTGAAGCAGAGGTATTGTACACTTCGTACTGGGTGGGTGATTTTTGCAAGGGTAGAAGGTTCATATTAGTTGACAGTTGAGGCTCCTATAGTTATGTCTCCTTCCGTGGGGGAGGAGGAGTGGCACAACAGGCTTCACCTTCTTCTCTTCCAAATGTATGTCCATCAGGAGAATCAGTGCAGCATGGGCAGTGAAATGTGGATCACTGGCAAGCAAGGATCCCAAGCATTCTTTGTAGGTTGTCCAATGTTAAGTGGAAATGAAGGGAATTGTTTCCTCTAAGAGTCAGGTTCCTATGGGCCAGAAGAGGCGCCTTAGTTTTGGAGGCAGATGAAGTTAAATCTCCAGACTGGGTTTCTGTGTTGTTTGTCTGGGCTTTGTTACATTTACAAGCTCTTTCTTTTGGTTAACCGCTGCTTGGGATTACATGGGTTTCTTGAGAATTTCTGGTGTAAAACTTCCAGAGGAGTCACTGTCAGTGCCACTTTCACTGTTATTGATGAATCAGTGTCATGTGCTGACAGCTTTCTAGGTGTCTTGGTCATAGAAGAGGCAATAACATGAGATAGTTTAGAGGTTGAGCAACTCAAAGGGGCAGATGAATTAAATTGTGCTGGACTTTCATATCACTACCAGCACTGGTAGGGCACATCAAGATTGTTTTGATGTCAGCAAGTTCCCCCCACCCTTCAGATGAATGAGTTCTGAGTTTATAGCTTCCTCTTTTGAAGTTTGCTTAACCTCTTTGCTGCTGCCAAGTCTGGCAGATTTATTGCTTTTGGAAGTGTGTGTGTTTTATGGATCTTATCTGCAAGTTCATGACCTTTTGTCACTTTTCTAGCGATGAGGTTGCTGACGAAGTCTCCTGAAAGACTCTGATGGTTTGGAAGTGATAAGTCCGCCTGTAGGAATTTGCTCATTTGAATGAATCTGGAAAGGGAGAAAAGGCTGAGAAAAAAACCTAAAAGGATTGATTTGGTGTTTCTTACACTGGGTAAATAGCAGAGGTGGGTTTCTCGCCCCGTTCCAACTGGTTCGGTTGGAATGGTGCCGGCGGCGTCCTCGTGCACGCGCACGGTGCACACATGCGTACTAGCGTCTGCGCGACGCTCCAGCTGCTGCTGGAGGAACGCGCAGGCGCTGTATGCGTCCTGCGCATGCGTAGAAGCGCAGAACTAGTCAAAACCGGGTAAGGACCATGGGCGGGCGGGCGCGCCCTTCGCCGTTCCCGGAAGTTACTTACTTCCGGGTTCGCCCTCCAACCGGTTCGCAGGGACCGCCGCGAACCGGTTGAAACCCACCCCTGGTAAANGAGGTAACAAGTTGGGAAAGCTGATTAACACATTTTTCTCCTGGTGCATTGACATTCTCTAGCCTCTCCCAAAGAGGCCAAGCAGACCTGCGGCTTCATTCTTACCCCTCTCTCTTTTTTTAACTCCAGGTCTCTCTGATAACGCAGCTGATCTGGAAAAGAGAAGACAGATCTACGGACAGAACTTCATTCCCCCAAAGAAGCCCAAGACTTTCCTGCAGTTAGTGTGGGAGGCACTTCAGGATGTGACCCTGATCATTCTGGAAATTGCGGCCATCATCTCCTTGGGGCTGTCTTTTTATGCTCCACCGGGTGAAGAAAGTGAAGGTAAGGTTGGATCCTTGCTGTCTCTGCCATGACATCCTCACATGGATGGAGTTTCTCATTTCAAGAAATTGCAGAGCATTCCCCTGGAGCATTATGGGAAAATACAACTGAGTGCCACCATTGAAACCTCCCACAATGCCCCATGGCCATCCAGTGTCAGAAACTGATTGATTCGAGTATTTATATACCATTCTTGTCACACAACCAAAGACAGATCCCTAAAATAAATCAAGCGAGCTCCTCATCAAAGGCATAAACTAGTCATAACAACAACAGTAGCATTTGACCCATCAGCTACAGATAAGACAACAGTACAACAGATAGTGCTTGGATTCTGAATGCCCAAAGGAACAACATTCTTCTGATCATTCTCTAAAAATTATCCAAAATGGTGGCTGTCCAAATCTCAGCAATGAGGGAGAAACTGTTCCAAAGGGACATGACAGCCATTGAGAAGACATGGTTTCTTACTCTTCTCAACTCTTAAAGCAAGAACCCTAAAGAGTGTCTTCTTGAATGAGCAGGAAAACTGCCCTCAAAGGAGATACTCCCTAATATAAATTGTAGATAAACCATGGAAGGTCCTTGGTGGACCTAGAGAGTGCAATTCCCTGAAACTGACTAGCACCTCAATGGGGATGGCATGGGTCAACCAGTCAACCAATCAGCCCATAGTTTAAAAGACTTTTAGTTCAATTAGTCCACAGCATAATAGGAACTGAGGGGGAGCAAAGCACTGTAATATATGGGATGAATGAGAACACTATAATTGGAGGATGCACACTAGGTATATGACATTGGGCAGGGCTAGGATTTACATCAAGGAAACCACCAATCACAGCCATTAGAATATAGTTTGCAAGGACAGCAAGATTTAGACTAAAAGTCTTTNGGATTTGTGGTGGAACTGGCCAATGAGGTGAGGCCCCAATCGGAGGAGCCCCGCCAGGGCAAAGCCCCTCCTGCTTTCCTGCTGCCCCACCTCTGTCCAGAGTCTCCCCTTCCAGATCTCAGCATTTACACGTTGCGGGCAAAGCGGCCCCCAGCCTCAGTCCTCACATCTCGTCAGAGCGATGGGGCTGCAGGATGACGCTTGGGGCACCACCATCTGCCCAGCCAGGCTCCTGGTCAACAGAGGCAGGCAGGAGTGCCCTCTCCTTCCCCGGAGGAGGGTCCTTGGGGGCCGGGAGGAGCCCCTTCACGGCAGGAGAAGGGGAGTCTGAGGAGGAGCTGCCGTTGCCGGCCGAGGCGGGAGGCCCGGTCTCCAGGGTGCTCCGTGAGCCTTCCACAGACCCGTTGAGGCTTCCTGCAGCCCCAAAGACTTTGGGGGACAGAGCTTTCTCTGACGAAAGCAGCGTGGGGGATCCAGGATGGGGGAGGGTCATCGTCGCTTCTGCTGGCTGCGGGGCACCAGCCAACATCTGGGAAGTCCCACTTGGCAACTCCCGCAGCTTTCGGGACAACACTGGAAGGAAAAAAAGGGGGCAGTCACGGCACTGCAGGGGAGCTGGGTTGCCCCCCTCGGGGTGTCCCCGGCGGCTTCCCCTTCCCCCGTCTCCTCCTCCTCCTCCTCCCTTGGAATGAACTGCCCCCCCCAAAACCTTGTGCTTCTTTCCTCCGTTTGAAATAAGTTATCAGAAGTGGCCCCAAACCAGCTCTGTCCCTCTGGGGATGCCATCGAGTCCCTGGCCACAAAAAATATCCCTGCCGGGGACTCTGGGAGGCCCCTTGGCTTAAACCAGACCTTTCCTCTTTACGACCAGGGAAGGACGTCAACAAAGCCTCTCCTCCTTCTCTTCCACCCACGCGCCGAACTGCTCCGACCGGCTAACCTTGGCTCTGCACTGACTGAAGCCAGCCGGGCAGCTGGGAGGCCAAAGGCTGTGGGGGGTTTTAGCCCCCAGGAGTTTGCTCAGCCTTTGCAGGAGCTGCAAAAGGCTTAGGGTGGGGGGTTTCCAGCCCGAGGGGGCTTTAAGAGGTTGCAGGGGCCGGGCCAGCCCTGGGAACTCACCTCCATGCTGCCCCAACGGTTGCTTCTGGCCGCCCAGGGGATAGAGGCTGGGCAGGAGGACCAGGCAGAAGGAGAAGAGCAGCACCTGGGCAGANTCAGGAACTCTGGCATTGAAGTGTGCAAGTCTTAAAGCTGTCAAGTTACAAGACCCTTGCACCCCTACCCCCTTTAGGAAAAAAAAACCCAGGGGTATTCAAACTTGACAGTTTTAAGACTTGTGGACTTCAACTCCCAGAATTCCTCCTCTCACTCTTCATCTTGATGATGTGTGGGCGGGCGGAGGGAGGGAGCTGGAACCGGTTCTAAACGGCACTATACATAGATTTCTGGAACGTCTTCTATAGAAGAGGTTAGAACTGGCAGGAACCCACCCCTGGTTTAATATTAAAGAGAGATGGAGGGAGTGGGACAAACATAAGGACGGATGGTAAACTGCAAATGGGCAATATAATTTGATGAGATTTGAACACTTAAAATGAATCCGTTCTTCATCTTTAGACCTCTGCAATAATGCAGATATCAAATACACACACACACACACACACACACACACTCACACACACCCCTCCCAGGATCTCTCTAAATTAGGAAAAGTTGGATATTAATCTCTCTTCTCCACTGTCTGCCTGCTGCAGGAGTAATTGACATATGATTAGCTCTCTCTTTTATCTCATTAAGGCCTGTCTGTCCATCAAATAAGACTGACAGTTCTTGCCATAAACAAGACAAGTACAGCAACAATTATCTCCCCCCACCATCCCACTCTGCTGCCAATGAGTCCAGTCAAAGAGAAGACAAAACGCTGATTGTAGGAAGCTCAGCTCCAATTATCAGTGAATGACATTCAACACAGTTGTCAGGAATTACGGCCAGGAATATTCATAGCCCCACTGAGCTGCGCCAGGCCTAATAAAGAGATTGTGCATTCTTGGTTGAAATACAGAGGGCTTGGAACGTGGGTGTGATTAAAGCTTTTTCCGCCAGACAAAAAAAAACCAGTTCAGCATTCTTCCGCGAAGGATGCCACACAGACAGAGGAGTCACACATGCGTGCACTCAAAGCTCACTTGGCACGGAGAGGCAACAGCCTGCTATCTCCAAGGGGCGAGAAAGAAAGCTATTATTGTTGTGTTGAAGGCAGTTAGGTCCTCTCTTGCCAAGAACAAGCCAGGATTTTTAAACAGACCCCCAAACCAGGGGAGAGGATGCCAAAATTAAAATAAAGAACAGATGGGAATTACAAACTGTATCACAGATGCACATGTAGAGAGAAGAACATATTTATTTAATGCAGGGAGAGGCATATTTTCAATGGCTGGGGCCCCCCACTCAAGGAATCTGCAGGAGGTAGGTAGAAAAATGAAAAAAGGAACCGTCAAAACGACAGCCACAAGCACATGATCAAAATCCTGCCTCTTTCATTGTGCATCAACCGTCACATAAAGGACAAGGACTTCAGTTACACCATTCTGCCGCCATTTTAACATTTTTTTAACTCTATCCCATCCTAGCCCAAGGATGCTCCTGCTTCCATTCAACATCAACCAAAAGGCTGGGGAAGCAGAGAGCAACGGGCCAAGCCAACATAGCAATAGCAATAGCAGTTAGACTTATATACCACTTCATAGGGCTTTCAGCCCTCTCTAAGCGGTTTACAGAGTCAGCATATTGCCCCCACAG